GATAGGTCGTATTTATTTGAGATAGAGACAGCTGATGGTAGAAAGCAACAAATTACTGGGGTTTGTCACAAGGCAGCCATAGAAGTCTAAGGGGTACGAGTGACGCTGCCCGTTTTTGCAGTAAAAAACTGCAGCTCTGACCTGCTCTTGGGACGGACATGGCTGAGCCACGTCCATGCGGTGACAATAGAGCGACCTGACGGGAGCCAGACATTGTCCATTAAGAAGCCAGACGGGACGCGAGTGATGATTGAGACGGTGGAGCCYCGGGACCCGAGGAACAGAGCAGCTCTCGCTGTGGGTGCGAGACCCAGTGATCAGGTTAGGTCTTTACCTATCTCCAGCCGCGCGGTGCGTTTTCGCAAGAAGGAGTATGGACCACTGCTCACAGAGGAAGAAGGCCGAATCGTCGAGGTAGAAGATTTAGGGAGTCGGTTAATAGTGGATGGCAACTCATACCCAAAGGAAGAAGATGAGGAATTAGGCGGTGTGGTATCCGTGTCTTTTTTAAGGGCACGGCCCCCTACAGGGGGCCGCCGAAGCGACACAAGCGAGTATCTCAGAAAGTTAAACCAGCGGCGGTGGGCCGCGAGCGATCTCCACTGGAAGGGGTATCGGAAGAAGAGATCGCTAGCGAGATCAAAGAAAGAAAGAGAAAGGAGCCACAACGCCTGACGCAAGATAGGATAGCAGGGATGGACATCGGAGATGAAAATCTGACCCCGCAAGAACGAAAACGAGTGATAGAGATTCTAAAAACATGTGATAAGGCAATAGCTTTCAGCGACGCGGAGCGCGGTAGAGTTGACCCTCGATACGTGAAGCCAGCAAGGATTTACACCGTACCACATGTTCCCTGGAATGACGCGGGATGGAAGTATGCCCAGAAGGAGAAAGAGGAAGTTATTGCTTTCCTGAAAGAAAAGATGGTTTCCCATGTCGCGGAACCGTCTGATAGCGCGTATGCTAATCGATGGTTCTTCTTACGGAAGCCGAATGGCAAGATCCGATGGATCCAGGACCTTCAGAAGGTCAACGCGGTGACAATACGAGATGTGGGCTCGGTACCACACGCCGATTTGTTAGCAGAAGGCGCTGCAGGTAGGTCGATCTATTCGGTCTACGATCTGTTCTCAGGATATGATGAGGTACCGCTTGATCCTAGAGACAGACACCTCACGGCCATGCACACGCCATTGGGACTAATACAAATGATGGTTGTCCCTATGGGGTGGACAAATGGGGTAGCTGTHTTTCAGAGAGCTATGGTAGCCGTCCTCAAGGACTTCATCCCTGATAAGGTTGAAGTTTTTCTGGATGACTTCCCTATAAAAGGGCCAGTGGACAGGGATGAGACGGAGGTCGTACCAGGAGTCAGGAGATTCGTCGAGCAGCATCTAACAGATATTTCCGCAGTGCTCGAG